TTTTTTTTCGTAACTTGCACCAATATTATGATGACAAAAACCAATGGTGATGTGGTCTCTTGGTAACACTTGTTGTCGAATATCTAATGATTTAATGGTAAATTCAAGTGCTTTATCAGGATCTGTGCAACATAACTCATTACCAATGTCAAAGTAACAGTGTGCTTCTTTTTCTTTTTCAGTTAAATGACATTTCTTGTCGTCGACACATAATGCTTTCATTCTATATACGAATGCATCATCATATTTTCTTTGACGACAATAAATTATATAAACATTAGTATGACATATATCGTTACATTTTTTGACGTTAAATTGATATTCTTCTTTATCAAATAAATGTTTTTCATAAATCTCAATTGCCTTTTTGTAATGTTCTAATGCTGTGTCAAGTATGACTTTTTTTTCGTAAACTGCACCTATTTCATGATAACAAAAACCAATGGTGATGTGGTCTCTTGGTAAAATTTCTTGTCGAATTTGTAATGACTTTACAGTAAATTCAAGTTCTTTATTAGGATCTGTCCCATATAACTCTTTACCAATGTCAAAGTAACATTGTGCTTCCTTTTCTTTTTCGCTTAAATCACAGTACTTTTCGTCAATACTTGATGCTTTCATTCTATAAGTAAATGCATTATCATATTTTCTTTGATGACAATAAATTTTAGCAATATTAGAAGAACATCGACCGTACGCCTTCTTGACATTAAATTGATATTCTTCTTTATCAAATAAATGTTTTTCATATATTTCAATAGCTTTTTCGTAATGTTCTAGTGCTGCATCAAACATATCTTTCTTCTCGTAAGCAACACCAATATCATGATGGCAAAAGGCAATGTTGACGTGATGTTCTGGTAAAATTTGTTGTCGAATTTCTAATGATTTTTGAATAAATTCAAGTACTTTGTCAGGATCAGTAGATAGGAATTTCTGACCAATATCATAATAACATTGAGCTTCGTTTTCTTTCTCTGTTAAATGATATGTTTTTTCGTTCACACTAAGCGATTTCATTCGAAGATTAATAGCATGATCAAAATTTTTTCTATCCAAACTTATATCACTTAAATGTTTAAAAATTGTTGAAATCTGTTTTGAATTATTTGGAGCGTATGTTTGACACATTTCTAAAGCTTTTTCATAGTGTTGACATGACCAATCGTAATCTTTTGTTTTCTCATAAGCTAGACCAATGTCTATATGTGCTTGGATAATTTTCTCATAATTCTTTGGATCGGATTTTAGAAGAAATTTCAATAATTTCAATGAATGTTGTAAAAACTCAGCTGATACTCTACTATCAGCATCTCTAGTGTCAAGATGTATTCTTCGTACATCAATTGTACTGTCGAACAGGTCTTTGAGGTCAGGATCTAATTGAACAAGTTCAATATCGAACAACTGATCGAACTGGTTTTTATATGTCGACCAAAAATCGTTATGGGTTTTGTCACAAATGCTCCATAACAGGTTGAGACAACCAACGTAGTATTTACGAGTTCGAGCTGACACCATTTTTTTTCCTAGAATATTGATACTTTTCATAATATACTCGAATGCTTTGTCATAATCGTTATCTTCATAATATATATTTGCTATAACTTGACACACTATTGCAATCTCTTCATCGTGATCGCTATGTTCACACGTGTTAGATGGATTTTCATATATTTTCAAAGCTTTTAAGAAATAATCACGTATTATTAGATTATCTTCTTCAAATAAGCCAAACAATATCATTATACGACCTATGCCACAATGAGGATTTTCTGAATAATATGTCGGCGTTTCCTTCCACATATCGTATGATTTCATGAGATAAAGTCGTCCATTCACTTTATCATCTTTAATCTTATACTGAGTAGCAATCAAACTTGTTATCATGGCAGCATCTTCCAAACGATTTATAAAAACATAATACTCAAATGCTTTTTCACAATTAACAATAGCTTCGTCACGATCTTCCAGCCAATGGGACGATCTTCCAATATAATCATAAATTTTAGCTAATTTTTCGTGTTCTTCATTTCCATAGATATTGATAAGGTTTTTGAAATATTTTCGACATACGCTGTACTTTTCCATTCTATACAATAGTTTACCCAACAATATGTTCATATCTCTTTCTGAACTATATTCGTTCAGGAATGTTTGTATATCGCTAATCCATGACTCTTCTGCCTTAGCTGTCAATTTAACAACCCATATCTTCTCTATCATATCATAAAGTACTGAATTTATAGTAAATGATGCACCTGAATCGAAGAGAATCTCTTGTTCTTCTGGATAATCACTATATTGAGCAATATCAGCTAGAATTACTGTTACTTTTGACATATCCACATCAATTTCCAGCATAACTGTTTCAACATTCGAACGTTTTGTACCTTTCTTTGCAAATGCATAAGCAACATCTTTTGATCTGCTAGTCGATAGAAATCCATTTGTTGCTATTGTTTCATCTACATTCTGTTTAAGATTATAAATCTCTTGTGGTGTTAACTTTAGTCCACGATAGGATATAACAATCTGTGAATGTTGTTTTAATTCTTCGTAATTTTGTCGAAGGCTTTCGCATAAATCAAGGATAAAAAATCGAAGCACCAACATTGCTTCATAGTCTTCAGTTCGTAATGCTTTATTTACTAAACGATAGAGAAATGTTTGTTTAGTATACCAATAGATTGCATCCTGTGATTCGTATGTTCGTTCAAATTCATCAATATTCATTAGTTCTTTTTTATTGTTACGATAATAATTCCGACATATTTCAATCATTTCACGTTTTGCTGCATCGCTATTGTAATCAGTTTTTAAAAGAACTTGTTTGAATGCAAAAAAACAATTAAATGTATATAATTCTCGATTTAAATTTCTCATTGATCGTTCATCTTGATCAAATAAACCTGCTGCTTCTGTTTGTTTTATTAAATAACGAATATTTTCTTGTAGAGCAGTCAATAATGGTTCATGTTTCGTATAGATTCCAACAACTTTGTAATACTTGTCGTTATTTAAATATATCTCATACTTTTCACGTTTCATACAAAATATAAAAATTGAATCAATTTGTTGATGATTATGTATTTCATCTAGAATATCGTGTGCATTCGAACCTGATAGAATAAGAAAGATTTTTTCTGTTTGAATTTGTCTAATATATTCAATGCATGTCTCGCGATTCGAACAAATTGAAACATAATCGTTAATTTGTTGAAGTAATTCGATAGTTCTTTTTGTGTCATTGTATATCCCAATGTTTTTATCGTACCAAATTAATACTACTTCTTCTTTGTTCGTATTTTCATTGGATACAATGATTGATTGAAGTGAAAGTGTAGTTGGAACTGCACGTTGAGTTATTGTTTCTTCTTCATTGACTGAGAGTTCCAGTACAACTATAGGTAAGAGAAAAATTATTGATTAATCAGAACATGAAGATGATTTATATGTCAGCAATTCCATCATATTTTGGCCGATAGAAGAATGAGCAAATCATATAGTATTTCTGTTTCTACTATAATTTTCCACTAGAAGGCTCATCAATGAAATCAATAACCTCTTTTCTTGTTTGTGCTTTGGTATTGAATATTTTCTGGAAAGTGATCTTTATCGTTCGAATAATGAAAAAAAAATGTAAGGATCGTTTTTTTTATTTTTTTATCATTTTTTCTCATTATTGAGTATCTTAATTATGTATGAATAGATTGTTTATGGCTAGAAATACTTCTTCCAGACACAAAATTCTGTAGAATGTAATCACTTAATTCGATTCTAAATAGTGATTAGCGATGATCTTGGTACGCATACAACGATGCTGAGACTTTGATGGCCTACTGTTCAATATCAGTTCACTAATAGTCGTTCACTAGTATTGTACACCCGTACTTTTGATATGTTTGAATAAAGACGAAACATAAAGGATTGCATATATTCATCTTCAAACAGTTAGATTTGATAGTTTTCCAGTTTCATATAGAAGTTTTCTTTGAATTTTTGGATACATCCTCAATGAATATTAGTGTTTTTAGGTATATTATAGACTGCTAGTTCCTCTATTCAGATCAAATGTGCTGTAGAAGAATTAGCGTAAGTTTCAAGTATTCTATTCCTATCACGATCTGTTGCAAAGCTTTCCCTAGGTGACATATTTTCCTCGTTCTTTATCGATCAGGTACTTTCATAAGATAAAATATCCAATAATGAAAAAACTTAACATAGAGATACAACATCAAATATAAAAATAGCTCTAACAAGTTGTTATCGCTTCAAATGTTTTGGATCGTTCTGTGATAAAGTTAAGATTAGCGTTATGGGAAAAACAATTTACTGATGTTGCACAGATCCTACAAAGTAGCTGTTAAGAAAGAATACATTCGAAAAATTATAAAAGAATTGTAATACACAACTGAAAACTATACAAGTCGTTTATACACACTGAGTTATTACTGACTTAAACTTGGCTGTTAAAAATCAATACTAGGAAATGCTTAAACTCTTGTAGACACAGAAGATAGGAAAACTTTAATTTTTTGCTAACGTTTTGCTAGCTAATTTAAAAATGAAACAATAGTTTCTATTTGATTGTGAATTTTCTAATCTTTTTTCTTAGTGTATCACTGTTTCTCTCTGCTTATTTTTTGGTTTTATTCTTTTACTAATTAAATTCTACATGAAATATGTTAGCAAAGTCCACTTACCTTTCAACCTTTCTATTAGTGTCTTAATTCGACTATCTTCTTCATTATTTTGTTGTCCAAGATATTCTCGTAAAACCATACTAAAGTTCTCCTTGCTATTGACTATAGTTTTAATTTCATCATCATTCATCAACAAAGCTAATATAAGGCATGCTTCATCTTCTATATCAATCAGTGTCAGAAAGAATTTCTGAAATTCTTTGATGCGATGCAAAATCATTTCATTATTGCTGATCAAAATTAACAACAAATGAAGAATACTTTTGATCATTGGTCGATTTTCTTCGAGTAATGCTTGTTCGCTTAGTATCGATAATAAACCATCGATCATTTTCATCAGATGATCACTTTCAAATTTACTTGTGGCACACAGTGTAAGACTATAACTCAGTAAATCAATCAATAAGATCAGAGGTTTCTGCCTTTGTTTAGTGTATTTTTGCTGCAGGATATCAACTACAGATATTAACAGACTATCCAATAACATATTGGCCATCTCTTCTCTATGTGGGCCTGAAAAACATTCGAAAGTTCAAATCAACTGCAGTGGAAAATACTTGTCTTACCTCTATAAGCTATCCAGTACGTTGGACATGTCAATAGAAAATTTTCACATTCAGTCCATTGAAACATTTCAATGTAATACTGTGAACATATACATTTCACAAGTGCTTCCATAATTTGTTCATTTTGTGTGTAAAGACCCACTAATTTCAAAAAATATTCCGTGTTATCTTTGTTATATAAATACTGTAAATCGTTTCCAATATCTATCAAACAACTTACAATCGACTGAGTCAATTTATCTGGATACACTTTTATTTTGCAGAGAATCAGTATTATTTGACGAAACAAAAATGAGTCAGATTCACTTAGACGGTTATCTTGATGCCATATTTGTAATATATCTTGTAATCTGCTTGTAATTAGAGTATAAAATTCATGATTTATGATTAAAGGATCCATTAAAACTGTCATGTCGATATTTTCCAATTGATTACAAATATGGATCAGATCATCAGTGCATATGGAATGCGATCGTTGAATAAAATTATCATAGATTTGTTTTAATTGATCGACTGTCATCATATCACGTCTTGATAAACTAAAATCAATGATAGAGATAAGATGAATGTAAACTACTCTTTTTTTGACTTTCATTTCAGAACTGTTGCTACATCCTTTTATTTGCTGGCAACAGCTTGGAATTCCTCGATCATTTTGTATATATTGCGACAAGCCGAGCAGATATAGTTAACTACTGGTACTTTATACTGTCACGCTTTGATTTCTTCATTTACTCGTCGGATGGTAGATAGAAAGATTCAATCAAAAAGCATGATATGTCTTTTATTTGATGCTATCGAACATCAAAAGGCCTCTCGAAAATCAGTTTTAAGGAATGCAATGTTTATATGGGATTCATTGATCTAAAACTACTTTGATTACTCGTTGAGGTATTAGTACCCATGTCGTCAAAATCGCCTAAGTTTTCACGATTAATCGCGATTTTTCAAAATACTAACGATTAATTGCGATTCTTAGAAAAAAGTTACCGATTAATCGCGATTAATCGTCGGTATTCTGAAAAATCGCGATTAATCGTTAGTTTTCTGAAATCGCGATTAATCGTCAATATTCTGAAAAATCGCGATTATGAAAAAAAAACCGCCAATTAATCGCGATTAACCGTCAGTATCTTTAAAAATCGCGATTAATCATCAATATTCTGAAAAATCGCGATTAAACTGGTGAATTATTTAACTTAAAATTTTTTGACTCAAGCTAAGAAATTGTAGCAATGCTCAGTCATTTTCCATGTCATCAAAATCGCGCTAGTTTTAGTTATTAGTGGCGATACCAAAAAAATCAGCAATTAATCGTGATATTTCAAAAACAAGTTTGTTAGTTATATAAATAGGAAAATAAATAGAATATATTATTTTATTGAGACTGAAAGTGTTTTTTGATTATTTTTGTCAAAATATTTTCATAATTTTCATACCAAAATTGTGAAGCGAAAATTCAGAATGAACATTTACTGGTAGGCGGATTTTAACCAATAAAAAAAATATGTATAAAATCCTTATTATTTATTTTTCGGCTTCTTTATAGTCTAGATTATTTTGATCTATCCAAAAAAGCGATTGTAATTCTATATTTTTTGAGTGATGAAATGCGTTTTTTGCCATGTTTAATCGAAGTATTTTTCAAAAGAGTTTTAGCGCTATTTTATGAATGCTCATATATTTATCATAAGATAAATAATTTTTTGACTATTCTATATTTATAATAAAAATGAGTAGTTTTTGAATAGTCAAATTTAAAAAAAAACAACTTTTTATAAATTGGCTTAGTTAAATTACAGATTATAATATATTCAATTTATTTTATATAAAAATTCAATCTATTTTTTATAATAAATTCACTAAATTTTTTACATAAATAATGAAAAATTATTTATCTTTGTTTTTAAATAATAGGAGAATTATATACCTAATTTTGCTCATAGTTAAATTTTCGTGAAGCGAAAAATTTTGTTTAATAGAAATATAAAATTCAACGATTCGAGGAATACGTAAGAATGGTCTAATGGTATATTCTCTGCTTCGAAACTACAAGGGCTTCTGTTCGAATCTACTCTATGGTAATTAAAAAAATTATATAAAATGCCTTTAGCAGGACAGAAAATACATTGACAGACGAACCAGGTTTACGAAAATGTATGTAAATAGTGAAAATAAAGTTCAAGATCATGATAGACTTGACAATAACTTTTTAGAAGTTTGATACATCGTAGCATGCTGCTTTTTGCTCAAAAGTGCGCTACTATACGCAGCTTCACGACCACGTTTAAGAGTTTAGCGAAAATATGAGAACTGAAATAAGAACGGGTTTCAACGCAGATTTTCATAAATTTTTTTTTCTGGGTAGTCATAGTCCCAGGTTACAATTCTATGAACAAATTCGATTATTGAAAATACTATTTGAATAATCGCGATTTTTCACGAAAATCGGAAACTAAAATCGGTAAAAATCGCTACTTTAGGCGATTTATCGCGATATAATCGCACAATTAATCGGCATGATAAATCGCGATAAATCGCCGATTTTTAAGCGATTTTCACCACATGGGTAGTAGAAACATTTTGTGAAAACATGCTTGTAATTTTTTTTTACATTAAAAAAATGAAAATGGAGCTCCTATTTTATATTCTTTATTAGTCAGCAAAGATAATGTCTGAAACCTTCCTTTTCCTCGTTGTTTTTATGTGTCATTTAATTTTAGTTATTAAGCAAGAAATTTTCACTAGAACAGAAAAAGATGACTAACTTTTATCATTA